GTTGGTATAGGCCCTAACACTGGACTAATCCGAAGACCCTAAATGGACAGCTCAGTAGAGTAGGTATAACTAAAACATCAGGTTTTCAATCCTAAACAAAATCAACCAACAATCGTAAGTGGTAAGTACCCTAATATAAAAATACCCAAACGGACGATAACCCAAATAATAGAACCAATCCAATTAGTTTGGAAGATTCCCCAAACTCGTCGTTCAGCAAAATAATCATACAAAATGCATTAGGGTAGATAAGAAGAATGCAATACATATTTATATTCATCAAGCAGTAGTTGAATGTATGCAGACACTATAATAAATTCAACAACAGCCTGATGAATATGAAATATGTATTGCATTCTTATTACCTACTTACCACTTACGATTCTCCCCTGAAAATGACTGATCTGACCAGGTGTCCATTAAGGGGCTGAATTTCATCATGTTTCGTCATCTTCTAACAAGCCACAGCAAATACAGATATGCTCATTCTTTTGAATTTATTACGTCCCTACTAGGACTTTACGTCGGCTCTCAACTTGATAACTTCCAGAGTTGTTAATTGAGAGCTTTCTAAGCATGTACCATTTTTGCATTCGTTTTATTGTGTGGCAAGGGAAATCTGAAATGTTTCAACCCAACAAACTACTAGACCAGGCCGGGAATTGAACCCAGTCGCCTCCAACATAATTTTGCTTTAGAGCTGCCCCTTTACCGACTGAGCTTAAGGAGACCCACAGATATGCTTATAATCAGCAATAAACTACGCTGATTTGGATATTTACAGTGCCAGTGTGGTGTGACAATTCTGGTTTCAGTTGTCTCACTTGATTTCATTCGCGAATCGTCATTCACAGCATTGTGAGTCTTGCAAAAATGTTGAACTGCGATTGGATTGATACCGATCTGCTGCTTGACATTTTACAAGCAGAACTAGGATCTCACAACCAGGAGATCAATATTGTTGGCTTTAATGTGGAACCAGCAACGAAAAAAGGTGACAACTATGCCAGTGAGATGTACAGAGCCGATGTAGAATACGAGCAGAATGGGAAACGGACGAAGAGCAAACGAATTTTGAAGGTATTTGTGACGATTTGAGTGTTACCTCATGTTATAATACATATCCTAGCTGACTTTTTACAGGTCATTCCATCAGGAGAAATTCAACGGATGATAATGGATAAGAATAGCATTTTCCCTAGGGAGATAGCAGTCTACAGGGATATTCTACCGAGGATCAACGGGCTGTTACAAAGCATAGGCGATTCAACAGTGTTGTCACCAAAATGCACCTTCACAATGGATGAGCCAAAAACTATGTTGGTGTTTGAGGATATCAAGGATACCGGTTTCCAAATGGCTGACCGTAAGCTTGGTTTGGACTTAGATCACTCCAGGCTGGTCATTAGTAAATTGGCCAAGTTACACGCATGTTCGGCGGTAATCTACCAAAAAAATCCATCTCTTATGGACCCAATTCTAGAGGGTGCCATTTGTTCGAACCCAGATCGACAAGATTTTCTAGTTTTCTACAAAATGTGCTCCCGTCAGGTTGTACGGCTCGTAGAAAGCTGGAATGATCCCCTGTACAATCATATTTTAGTGAGATTACAGAATCTACCAGACACAATAATTAGAAAAGGTATACAGGTATACACACGTGACGAGTCGGTATTCAATGTTCTAAATCATGATGATGTTTGGACGAACAACATGATGTTCAAATATGGGAATGGATCCGTCAACGATGTGCTTCTATTTGACTACCAGCTGACGTACTACGGCTCACCTGGAGTGGACTTGAACTATTTCCTCTATGGATCGGTTCAGGAGGGCGTTCGCGAAAAGTATTGGATGGAATTGATTAGGGTAAATGATTCTACTTGAACATCATTTCCAAGTGAAATTTGACTGTTTCTGATTTATTCATCAGGATTATCACAACATTCTAAGATCAACGTTAGAGAAGCTACAGTACTCCGAAAAAATACCGTCGATTGAAGACGTTCACGTGGAAATCATTCGAAAAGGCTTCCACCGTAAGTGTTATCACTATGTCAGCATTTCGTTACAGAGCACGTGCATTTGTTATTCTTTCTAAAAGCTCAATCGGCAACTGCCGTGCGACTTTATTTATGAGCCTTATCACTTTGGTAAACCGTTTCAACTCACGATAAGATAATTTTCCCTGTGTGATGCCTTTCGTATCGTATATCGCTGTCATCGTCCACTCTATTTTTCTATTTATAGGCGTAAATGCTGTATTCTGCCTATTGCCGATAGCGTTAATGGAGCAAACGGAGAACGCCGAGATGGACGTGTTTCTACAGGAAAACGAAGCCGGTGAAGCGTTTAGGAGGGAGATTTTTTCCAATCCACGACTGGAACTAATACTGAAGCGGGCACTCATCCAATTCGATCATCTGGGATATTTTGATTGAAAATTAACAGAAAGTAGTGTTCCCTCAACTGTTGAACTTGTTTTTAGGTGTCTCGAAATTAAACATTCAAATCTCGAGTAAATTTCCAATCCAAAAGATCTGCGTTGATCGAATATCTTCATCAATATCCCTATAATAACTAATCGTATAATTCTTTAGATCACTGTTAACAATCATGACTATATGAATACGTGTGATGGGAAAGCTACTTTGAATTTTTGCGTTGAATCCAGTAACCAATAGATGCGGTAGAATGGAGCACATAATTCGAGCAGTTTTAAATTACGTTTCCTACCACTCGAACATTCTCGTGGAACAATGTTTTGATATTTTTTCTTCTAGAACCTAAAAAAAATAGGATCTTATTCATGCTCAGTTTGAAGAAATCTAGAGTTTTGCTTCATTTTCTTAAAATCGCTGGAAGAAGTATGTCCTAGAACTGAAAATATGATTAATTATCTATTCCATTTGAGCAGATAAAATGACTTTTACTACCACTCGATCTTCGAAATAATGCAATATTCTGAGATTTTTTCGTCTAGAACCACGAGAGAAGCAGCCAAAATTTGTCAGCTCATCTTTCACAAGGCACATCAACTACCCTTTTTGTGAAGTGAAGCCCGGCCAATTCAGAATCGGTACACACTATTTTTATTGCGCTGGAAACCAGCAAAATTTAGCTGGATTTTGCCGAGCTGGAAATCCAGCAATCCTTTCAGCAAAAAAAAATAGTGCTGGATCACCAGCAAAATAATCTGACATAAAAATGACAGCACTTTACTGTAGAACCAGCAAAATTTGCTGGTTGTTCGGTAATACAGAAGAGGAATTTATTTTGGTGTATGATCAGCAAAATTAGTAAAGTATTATTTTGAGAAAAATCAAAGATTTTTTGAAGTTCAAACTTAATTTATTTCACACATTAGCATCATAACTGTGATTCAAATTATGTAGCGATAAATTCAGTGCAAACGAAGAAATACTATCAAAAACGATGAATATAAACGCCAACCCATTATCCACTTCCTCCTGCAAATAAATATTAAGGAAGTCACTTTACAGCACTGGTATAACCGATATTTGTATGCAAATTTAACTTTATCAAAATAAATCAAGTTGCGATCAGGCATGCGATAAAGAATCCGCTCTCAAAATTGCAATCTATTTGACAGTTCCCGTATTTTACTGATCATCCAGCAGACAAACATGTTTGCTGGATTCACAGTGAATGTTAATTTTGCTGGACTCTGTTCAGTAATTTGTTTTGATTCAAAATTTGGTGTGTACATTTCTTTTTGTCTGGTACAGTGCTTCTAGTGGTCGGTTCTGGAATATTTTGACAGAAATGTGTTTACAATGTCGTTCTCTTGAAATCCACCGTCTGTGTAGTGCTGAAACGTTTCAAGGAACGTTTGCCTGTTTCCCGTAAGGTGTAATGAGGGCGTCGAAGTGGTACAGTGGATCGAAACCTTGTGTCAGAACGTCATGAAGCCTTTCAAAGCGAATCCAGGACTTTCGGACGTGGATGCGGTCAACAAACTCAGTGCTGTTCGCAGTACAGCTCGAAATATACTCGTTTGGGCAGGTTTCTTCAAGTATCGGGCCATTAAGCAACCGAACTGGACCATAAAGCAACACATTACGGCCAAAACTCAGGCCTGAAAGCTGCATGATTAGGTGCTGACCAAATTCAACGGATGCATACTTATGGACGATGAAACGTATGTCAAATCGGACTTCAGACAGCTTCCGGGACAGAAAACCGTGGAGATGTTCCTAGAGGTCGCGGAGATGTTCCCAAGAAATATAAATTTATTTTTGCGGACAAGTTTGCCGGTAAGCTGATGATCTGGTGGGGAATCTACAGAATCATCACAGCCACTATGACGGACAGTTATACATCAACGAATGCCTAAAAAACGTGCATTGCCGTTCATCAGGTCCCACCGGGCCCCGTCAAGTTTTGGACAGATTTGGCGAGTTGCCACTACAGTATGAATACGCAACAGTGGTATAGTGATAATGGAGTAGGCGTCATTGAGAAAGGGATGAACCCCCAATGACCAGATACTCGAAAAAAGCAGCCGGTGAGGTTGACAATAACTTATTATTCTAAACCAAACAGATTCTGAGATGCATCCGATTGAAGGCGATTCTAAATTGGCAAAGCTTTACATGACAGAAAATGAAAATATTTATAAAAGCATTGCTCCCATGTAAACACTTGAAAATAACACGCAATGTATTTAATTTATCTTCTGTCCACATATTAATCTAAAACAAATTGTGCTGGTGACAGAGCCAAATAAAGGCTTTGTTTCAACTCAAAAATCGACGTAACTACCATTAAAAGAAAGTGAGCAAAGCAAGGCGTGATAATCCACAGCTAGCTTTTCGTTCCTAGCATGCTTCTTTTTTTAATTTTCCTTTACCTAATTCCTCAAGTCGAAACGATGAATTTTTTGTATGAACACTTGCATGAAAAAGTTTGTCATTTCGACATGCAAAATGAAGCAAAACCTGCCCCACCCTAAATTAAGAAACGCAAAGTTAGTGTATTATGGTTTTATTCCGCTAATCATAAAATTATAATAACATAAATCAAAATCACATGTAATTAGGATCTTCTGGTATGTAGTGTACCTACCAATGAAATGATTATCCAAAAAGCGTTCTACATGCTCCTATAACAGCAATGAAAATATCAGCAAACCTCCACCGAAAACTACGAAACACTGCCGCCATCAATCGAGCTTGTCCAGCAAGCCTTTCCTGTCGAAAGTCGGCAGAAGACCTTTGATGATCTTGTGGTACTTCTTGTTTGCCATGATTACCTTTTTGAAACGTTTCGACCGCTCATCCCCGGCCATTAGCGCATCGAAATCGGCATCCGCCGTTTCTTCATTCAAGTGGATAGGTAGGGCTACGACACTGGAATAGATAGCTGTACAACAAAAAATCATTCAATAAATAGGTACCCTATAAAACTGTCAACAAACAAATTGCTTACCGTAAAACATCTTTTTCAAAATCTGTCGTTGAAATTGATGTAAAGTTGGGAATTTCTGCGTACAGTTTAATCGTTTCACATACTCTGCCAGGTGATAGTAATAGTACTGCATGTACTCTTCAAAGCCATTTTGACGAATTTCGTCCCTGGCCGATGTGAAAAAGAAATAGCACAAATCAATAGCGGGAGTTCCGTAGCAGCAAAACTGAAAATCTAGCAGTAATACATCCACAGGATGGCCATCATTGTCGTATTTAAACATAAGATTATTGATCCATAAATCACCATGAACTAAAACGCGAAGATCATCCTTACTATCGTTATCGAATACGGATAATCCTTGTTCGATGAAATCCGGCCGGAGCTTCCGCAGTTTATTTGCGTAATAGTGCCATTCCGAATCCCACGTGTAGATTTCATCCGTTAGAGCATCATAAGTTGATTGGAAAAAATCATGAAAAGCATCCGTTTCCCGAGTAATCATTCCGGTTTTGTAACTATCAAATATTTTTGGATACATTTCAACTAGCTTCAAGGAACTGGCATGTAGCTTGGCCATTGCTTTGAGGGATATTTTTGTATGAATTGCGTCCAACCCTTTGGTTCTGTCAGTCATTACGAACCCTTTTTTTGAAACATCGTTGAATATCATAACGTCATTATTTCGATCGACACACAATGCATTCGGATACAGGTCCGAACTATCACCGGTAGATCTCATCAGCTGTCGTAATTCTGGAATCACCAACTGATAGATGTCCATTTCTTTTCCGTGGACATTGTACTCTCCCAGTTTCTGCTTGGCCAGCTCCGTTTCTGATAAACCCTTGATTATATAACTGCGAGTTCTAGCGGGTTGACCCTTGCTATAAAATACCACTTGCACTCTGTAGATCACACTGGCATAGTTTTCACCTTTTGCCAATGCATATTTCACTTGAACCGATTGTACTTTAATCGTTGCATCATCCTTGCACTTTCTCAACAGCGACTCAAAGTACGATTGGTTTATCCATTCCGGGGCATTGCACGAATCTTCGATCAACGTTGAACAGTTCCCTTCCGGCATTGTGGCGATGCTAGCAGATGCTGTCCGATAAACTGTTTTTGAAATTGTGGAGATGACACTCGAGAACCAACTAGTTTTATAATCGCTACTGAACTGACTTGGTGGGAAGACATCTGATTTACAGCTTTAAATCCTGATACAACACCGACTAGAGGGGGCTTGATTGGATCAATGTGATTTATGCATCTCGTGCAAGTAGCAGATTGCATTGGAGTGGATAGGCCAGTAGCTTAGGACGATACTGCTGACATGCTGATCTAACGGATACGTGACGAAGCTGCTAGTTAATTTCAGTACGGTACTAAGTGATTCTGACATAAAATTCATATTGAAGCTACTGAAACAGAAGCGTTCTTGCTAATTACAGAGGAAAAGCTATCTGGATGGCACGTGGAAGTATTTGATAATGTTTCGCAATGGGTAAGTATGTCCCCGTGGATGATTTATACACCGTCAACAAAATATAAGGGAAGGATTGCTCTCTATGAACAATCGTTGGTTTTCTGTCTAGACGTGTTTCGTGCATAATTAGCCTAAATACAAAATACGTTGAGGAATTCACCGCATTTCAGCCATGGAAATCATCTCGACATTGCGTTTATCCTACTGTTAAGGTTGCAATTTACTTTGATGCATTTTCAAAAATCTCAATCCCAGGTTTTTTCGACGCATCTATTCAGATTTAAAAAACCAGAACTAATCGTTGGAAATTAAATGTACTTGCTCAAAAACATACCACCACCAGCAAAATGAGATCAGAAATCGTTATCTGTGGTTAAAATTCATACTTTTAATATGAAAACATAAACTATCAAAAATCCTTGATTAGTTGTTAAAGTGTGCACCATCTCCGAATTATTTTTAACGTATCCAATTGACTTCAATTTTCCCAAAAGTTTTTTTTATAATTTGGATCTAAGTTTTTTAATGAATTTATAAAAATGGACAATCTAATTTTGATGGAAATTTTAAGATTTATAACTGTGTTAAGTATATCTACTAAGTGACATCCAGGGACTATTACCAGCATGGTTGACTTACTCAACAGATGTCGCTATTATTAAACTGCGACTTATTGTGTATTCATAAAACCAGAAAGTGTTGATTTTCACAAAAATAGAACCTCTTTAGAACAAATATTTGTTTCACTTAATAGCTTTAATTTTTACCGAACTGGCCTTCAAAATATTTTGTATGTTTTGGCTTCTAAAATCAATATTTTGGCCGGTAAAAGGTATCTTCCAACATTATCCGGAAGTTTTTGACGTAGGACTATGTCTTTTGGAAAAGGTGCCGATGAAACGAAATGGTAGAGTTTGCAAACACAAATTTCTCAAAACCCTTAATACGAAATATATCAAGGAATTTCGGAAAACGCTCAATTCATAAACCACAAAAGTGTAACGGAACCAAACGACACTTATCAGGGCCATCAAAAAATTGCTAAAGAATTCAGAATTTTGAACGTCATTCCAAATACACCACGGCGTCAAGATGAACGCAACCACGTAGCTTTTCCAAAGGACCAATGTAACATTTTCGCCATATTGAGAAAAACAATTTTAAAATCGCTATTTTAAATTGAATTTCATGCTATATACACCTTAAGAAAGTAATACATTATATAATAATACAAGCGTGAATTTTCAAATAGCCATGTCTGCTTTTGTAAACTAAGATTCAAACGTCCATTTAATTAAACTCTTAGCTCACTCACGCAAACTAACACCATCATCAGGTGGATAAAGTATCCCCAACAATATGCTGGTGCTAGTTTGCGTCGGTGAGCTAAGAGTTTCGACAAATTGACGTTTGAATCTATGTTTACAAAAACAGAGACGGTAATTTAAAAATTCACCCGAACAGTAAAACACCTTATACAAAAAATACCATAAACGAACGATTACCCAAATGTTTTATTTTACATTGAATTGTGCTTATGATTTTTAAAACAATATTGGTGAACAAAATAAGCCCTAAGCTTAAGCAAACAAAAATGCCAAATTGTCATTGTCATTGTCAACGTCTGCCATTAATGATAAGGTTGATAGGATCCACAAATGACCGTTTGCCTTGTAAAATCAGCCATGATTGTGGATTCTATCAATCTTATCCTTAATCGAGCTTGTCCAGCAAGCCTTTCCGGTCAAATGTCGGCAAGAGACCTTTCATTATCTTGTGATATTTTTCATTTGTCATTATTGCCTTCTTGAATAGCCTCGAGTGCTCATCTCCTGCAAACAGTGCATCGGAATCGGCAATTACTGTACCATCATTTATGTGAATAGGAAGGGCCACGACGCAGGAATGGATAGCTGGAAAAGATTTTGTTTTGTTCCTTAATACTGTTCCTTAAATGTAACGAAAATTTCATACCGTAAAACATCTTTTTCAAAAGCTGCCGTTGAAATTGATGTAACGTTGGAAATTTCAGTGTGCAGTGTAATCGCTGCGTGTACGCAGCTAAACCATTGTAATAGTATTGCATGTATTCTTCAAAGCCATTTTGACGAATATCGTCTCTGGTCGATGTGAAAAAGAAATAGCACAAGTCAATAGCGGGTGTTCCGTAGCAACAGTACTGAAAATCAAACAGTATCACATCGATAGGCTGCCCATTATTGATGTCATATTTGAACATGAGATTGTTGACCCACAAATCACCATGAACAAAAACTCGTAGATCATGCTCGCTGTCGTTATCAAACACGGTCATGCCTTGTTCGAGGTAATATGGCCGCAGTTTTCGTAGTTTGTTTGCGTAGTAATGCCATTTCAAATCCCACGTGTAGATTTCATCCGTTAGAGCATCGTAAGTGGAACGGAAAAAATCATGAAAAGCATCTGTCTCTCTAGTCATCATTCCAGTTTTGTAACGATCAAACATGGTTGGATAAATCTCAGCAAGTTTCATGGAAGTGGCATGCAGCTTGGCCATTGCATTGAGGGACATTTTAGTGTGAATTGCATCCAACCCCGTGATCCTATCAATCATAACGTATCCTAGCTCTAAAATGTCGTCGAATAACATAACATCATTGTTTCGATCGACACACAATGCATTTAAATACAGGTCCGAATGGTCTTCGATAGATCTCATCAGGTGCTGTAATTCCGGTATCACCAGCTGATAAACGTCCATTTCTTTTCCGTGAACATTGTATTCTCCCAACATCTGTCTAATCAATGGCGTTTCCGACATTCCTTTAATTATATAGCTGTGGATTCTTTCAGAATGATCCTTGCTGTGAATCACCACGTGCACCCTATAGATAACACTGGCGAAGTTTTCACCTTTTGCTAATGCGTATTTCACATCTATCGATGGCACCTTGATTGACGGGTCATACTTGCATTTTCTTAACATAGTTTCAAAATATTTTGCGTTGATCCATTCCGGGATACCACACGGATCTTCGATCAGCTTTGGGCAGTTTTTCTCCGGCATTGGAATTCTGATGGAAGACTCGGAAACGTCGTGTTTCGAGCTATACATTAAAACCTGGAAAACAAACGGATTAACTTCCGAATCAGCTGAAATATCTCTGAAGACTAGTTTTATAATGCGGTCTTCGTCTAATGATTGATAACCTATCTCTTATGTCTCTCTGTTTTCAATTCATTCATGTTAGAATTGTCAATGAACTTCAATTAGAAATAAAAAGATTAATTTCCTGCTGCCATTTCGTTCCGATTTTAACTCCAGAGCATTCCTTGATCCTTGAAAAATTAAGCCACCTTGATCATACGCTGGAGGTCACCGATTTGGCGATTTCCGCTTATTTGAATAATACTCTTTTATGCTTCGGCTAATACCGTAATGCCGAATACAAGAGAAAATCCGAATATTTTTTTTTATTAAATATTACATCTAGTTTATAGCATAATAAATATGGGTGATGATTATATTATCATAACAAAATTAACTTGATATTTTTAGCATGATGAGCATTGAAACTTAACTTTTGAAAATGTCTGAATTTGTGGACCAAATGACCGAGGTTCAATATTTTATGGTATCTAAAGTGGACCCTACACGATTGCTTTTATTGACAATAACCGTATTGTCAATACATTCTATATTGACGTCAATACATCGGTATTGACAATATTTATGTCTTTACATCATCAATATTATTGTCAATAATTCCCCTTCGCTTCAATATATTGATACGTGTGGGGTTTGCTTAAGACACTGATACATCCAAACTATGAAACTATACCCAACTTAGTACTCGTTGAGTATTTCCACATTTGTTAATTAACCAATGGATGTCACTTCTGTCACTGATAGTGACATGTAGGTTGACATTTATGAGCATGATAGTTTTCAGTCTGAGAATTTATGAAGAGTTTTTTTTTTGTTTTTTTTTTCCTTTATTTAACGTCAGTCTCTGTTCCGCAATCTAGTGCCAATCACCGACGGACATCGATTGCCATCCATTGACGGCAACCGAATGTGCAAGAAAGCAGCTTCCACACCTGCGTAGGGATATCGCACCCATTCCCAACACACATGGGCCGGGACCAACGGCTTTACTTCCCTTCCGAAGGAAGACGTGCCTCAGAAAAATCCCACTGACCTTGGCTGGGATTGAACCCAGACCCATTGGAGTGTAAGAAAGTAGTCACGCTTAACACTACACCACCGGCGCCGGTCAGAGAGTTTTTTTTTCGTTTTTGGTTGATTATTTAAAAACAACAGCAATTATCTCAATGATGTATGCACAGAAAAAGGGGACAATTGTTGAGCATATGTTGGTAGTATCTGTATTTAGGTGCATAGTTCCTGATCATTACTGTTGGATTTGATAAAGGGTCACAAATTGCTCATATTTTGTTAAAAATACGACGCTGCTTCTTGATTCCGAATTCGGCCTTATTGTTTATATTTCAATCTAACATATACTGCCTATAAATGAGAAAATGGCTAATGTACCTTGCTTGATTTTGTCGACACAGTAACTTTTACTAGACAATATTAACTTTTAAATGTGCATAATATCCATCGTTTATGCCGAGATCATACCGTTGAATGAAAACAGGAAAACAAATCTCGCGCAACGCGAGAAAAGGGCCTATCATCAACTTTCTTCATCGATTTTCTCTTTCGTGAATAACCCGACTACAAATGAATTTCCCATTGAGTGTGTTGTTTCAGGGGCAAGCTAACATGATCTTCTGTCGAACTGTGTCGATTAAGAGAATCGATCAACGAGGATAGGCTCTTTTCAAATGTTACGTGAGAAATAGCCAATTTTCATTTTGCTAACGTGCATACATTTTCATACAGATACCTGGACCCTACCTATCGTCCCATCAACTCATGAACCGGGGACCAACGGCTTTGCTTCCCTTCCGAAGGAAGGCGTGATCTGAGATTTTATGCCTCAGAAAATCCCGACGGTGTCGATTGGGATTGAGCCCAGGCCCTTTGAAGTGAGAGGCAGTCACGCTAAACCCACCATCGGCGCCGCTTCGAAAAACTCTTGGAGAGGATGCACGGAGAGTGAGCACAGATTGTCGGAGAGGCAGCTTGGATTCCAGAAAGGGAGATCAACGGTGGATGCAATTCAGACAGTGGTCGAGAGAGCTGAGAAGGCGTCCAAACAGAAGTGGAGAGGAGATCGATATTGCGCCGTGAGAACGATCGACGTCAAGAATGCGTCCAACAGCGCCAGTTGGGAGGCCATCATCGAAGCACTGCATAGAATGAGGGTCCCTGACTTATTGTGCAGGATCCTGAGGAGTTACTTCCAGAACCGGGTTCTGGTCTATGAGACAAACATGAGGCAATGATCGATTAGGATCACAGCGGGAGTTCCACAAGGGTCCATCCTTGGTCCAAAGCTCTGGAAAGGGATGTACAACGGCGTGCTATTGCTGAAACTATCCAAAGGCTTGGCTTTTTTGACGACGTCGTCTTGATGGCAACAGGCGAGACGCTAGAAGAGATGAAAATGTTGACGACCGGCGATCGACATTATTGGTAACTGGATGCAAGGAGCGAAGCTGTAGATAGCCTTCCACATCAAAAGTGCTTTTGGTCAGCATCTGTAAAGCACTGCGGCGTGCAGAAAACCACCGTCGGGAGCACGCCATAGCCTCGAAGAGCGTTTTGAAATACCTGGTAGTGATGATCTACGACCGGCTAAACTTTAACAGCCACGTTGAATATGCCTGGGAGAAGGCTTCAAAGGCCGTCAACGCGATAGCTACAATAATGCCGAACAACTCTGGACCCAGCAGTAGCAAGAGGCGTCCAGTGTGTCGTCGTCGATACTGAGGTATGGAGGTACAACCTGAGTTGCAACGCTGGAAACCAAGCAGAACCAAAGGAAATTGAGCAGTACATGGCTCATGGCTATGCGAGTCGTGAGTGCGTACAGAACCATCTCGTCGGGAGCAGTATGCGTTATCGCCGGAATGATTCCTATCGGCATCACCCTTGTGGAGGACAGCGGTGCTACATGCGGAGAGTAACCGAAGAGTACAGACAGTGGTTAGAGTGGAGTACGATAGATGGACACCTAGACTAATACCGATTCTTTCGACCTGGGTGAACAGAAAACACGAAGAAATCAACTTGCACCTGAAGCAGCTCCTGTCTGGCCACGGCTGCTTTAGGAAGTACCTGCATCAGTTCGGACACGCAGTGTCACCCCGCTATCAGGAGTATGGCAACGTCGACCGGAGCATGTGGTCTGTGACTTCCAAGGTTTGAGGCAGTGCGAAGGGAGATGCCCGTCCTTAACGCGGAGAATGTCGTTGATGGAATGTTAAGAGGAGGTCACTTGGAATGCCGTCAACAGAGCAGCCACGCAGATTATGTCGGAGCTGCAGCGCAAATGGAGAGATGAGCAGTGATCTAGCAATGTCAGCTAGCGCTGAGAGCATGAAAAGTGCATGAGCATTTCATTCAAGCTCTGTGGAACTACATGCGGTGAAATATGAAACGCACATTTTAAAGTGAATTGCAAATAATGGCCAGTGTCATCCTGGCAGAACTCATCCTAACCGTCACTGAACCAAAGGGCAGTTAAACGACTAAACTGGAGTAGTGCATAACAAATATTAACAAATTTACGGAAATTTATATTACAAAGTAATGCGCGTACAGCAAAACAGACAACATACAGTCAGGATTAATCTACAAATGACAAAATACAGAGCTCTAGTAAGTAAGAAAATTGAAAATTGTAAAACATTTAATTAAACTATATCAAACTTTTTACAGTAATCCTTAGAATAAGGCAAAATAAATTGCGCCGAAATGTCGTAGAGTAGAAATACTCTGTTTTACCACTTAAAGTGACTGAATTCCAAACCAAATAAATAAAAACATATATTTTGCCATTATCTACTCAAATTAAACCATGACATTTTATTTCAAATTTGAATGAGGCCCTAGGGCCAAAACTACCACTGTCCCTAGTAGCTTTGATTAGATATTGTCAAATTTAAAATAAGCACCCAAATAACGTTGATAATTTTATACTCATAAAAGTTAATTTATCTCTGTTTGGCAGTTAGTAGCATCAATCCGAGGCTTTGACGGTGTAGCTCTAAGGGACCGTACAATAGCGTAGTCTCTTTTTGACTAATGTTAGACCACCCCTCCCGCATTTTACTATACTTAATACATGGTCGTTCACAACTTCTGCAAACCCCATCCCCTCTCAAATACAACGTCATTTATGGATCGCCCTTAAAGCTAAAACCATTCTCTTGTCGATAGTTACATTTCTTAATTAACATATGTATCACTTTCGGCAGATTTCACCCCTATCTATGATGAACGGTTGATAACGTGTGGGACCTAAATTCATACACCTGAGTAATGCATTGAAATCCGCACACCTAAAAAACGTATAAATGATATAAGTACGGTTATAGGTCCCCCACGGTACAAAGATTTTAAGTATTAAGAAGAAGACACAGTGAATTATAATTAAAGATAGAACATGTCATTAGTTTCATGTATGTTAAACCAAATTTTGGGAAAACACGCTCATGCAAACATAAAACATAAAGACGTCAAACGCAACGTAGCCATCAAAGCAACACGGAAAGTTACAGTTCCTAGTGGGACTAACCTGTTCCATTGAATAAGATAGCTAGAAACGACAGTTTGTCAGAAATTACTTTACGCAAGATTTCAATACCGCCTTCTGTATTCTTGTTCAATTGTAAGAAAAGCATCCTCAAACTGCTCGGCTCCCAATGACTGTTCCTGACAGCTTGTGTCTAGCTCCTTATGACGTTTATATGTTTCGAGTCTGGGTCTCCTTCCCAGGGACTGCTGCCTAGCAAATTTCTCCGCATAACAGTCCCACTAAATATTGCTGATATGAAAATATGTAATTTCTGTAGTTTTCATATTATTCCGGTTGAAATGTGAACAATTCACTGACTTATTTAACGTATATTTCTTCCAATGAGCAGAACTGATTTGCGATTTTCTCAGATGCAATTTGTAGAGCATGGGACAGATATGCGTAGAACGGCAGTTCACTTCACTTCCCATGAATGATCAAAACGCTCAAATTGATGACATAAAGTTGTATTTCATTACGCAATAATATTTCATTCGACGTATACACTGAAAGCCGGTATCGGTTACCACAAATATCATTTGATAGTAAAATATATCAACATGCATGTACAATACAATCGTCTATGCGATAATTCCACGTATTCATTCGCACATACACCTCATTACAACCATGACCATCAACACATCGCTTCTCTGAACCAACGAAACCATACAATATTTACAGCCGAAAATGTGTATAGTTCAGTATAAAACCAACATCCGTACGCAGCACAAGCCTCATCCACAATGGCAGATTACAGTCCAGAGGAATTGGAAGCACCAGCTTGGCTTGACGATAAGTTCTTCACGGATATTTTGCAATCAGCTGAAAATGATCCATCTATCCAAATCCATGACGGTGGTAAGCTACGACCTGCTACCAATCCTGGAGACAATTACTGTAGTATTATGTTCCGTACCACGGTTCGCTACACATCGAATCGCCAGCCCAACGAACTGGTAGTTAATCTAATCATTAAAACCACCCCAACGACCGAGGGATTCAAGAAGGAAATGACCAAGGATAACACTCTGTTTCTGACGGAGATTAAGATGTACAGCAAAGTTCTCCCAGCCATGTCCAAATTGTTGGCGGACGTTGGCGAACATTTGGAGATACCAACGTATTTAACTCATATTCTACACAGGTATGAAATCGATTAACTATCTTCGACTAACATTGCTTGCAGATTGATACACGCATCTACGCTTCCGAATACCGTAATCGTTCTTGAGGATGTATCTCCCAGAGGATGGCTCCCTGGACGCAAATGTATTGAAAGCCTAGAGGAAGCTCGTTTCACCATACGAAACATTGCCATGTTTCATGCCACTTCATTATATCTCCAGAAAACAGTAACCATGTGCATTATCACATAGATTTTTTTTCAAGTATTTTAATACATAGCAATGAATCAAATTTCAGACCATGGATCTATCAACAAACGATGTGATGCAATTGATGACGTCCGGAGAAGTACTGAACATTTTCACTAGGGGATACGATGAATTGTGTAATGCTGTTGAAAAATGGCAAGGCTGTGAAGAGTTTGCTAAGAAGTTGAAATATTTTAACGGGTCAGTAAAAGAAAGACTACAGCAAGTCTACACTGCAAATCCACAATCGCTAGGCTACAATGTACTGAATCATGGCGACTTTCAGTGGAAAAATCTTATGCACAAAAGGAACCCAGCAAATCGTATCGTGGATTCCATGTTGATCGACTATCAATGCTGTCACTGGGGATCTCCTGCCATCGATGTATTGTATCTGATTGATTTAATCGTTGATAACCAGACAAAAACAGCTTATCGAAATGATATCATCCACGAGTATCATCAACATTTTACGACGATTCTGAACAAACTTGGCTTTGCGGATAAAATTCCTAGCCTTGTCGATTTGCAAATCGAACTACTGCGGAAGGGGTTCCTTGGTAAGCTTAGATATGACGAGTTATCATTGCTTGTACAAATGTTTACCATTTCGCTTACAGAGTTAATGCACGTTTGCGTTTTTGAGCAGTTTAAACACATGGAGCTTACAGGGTCTACATTTGATGAGTATAATGATGGCAAATTGAGCAAACCTTGCTTTGAAAATCCAAAATTCCGTGACATTGTTCGATCAGAATTACTTTCACTTATGTATAAAGGTTTCCTGAATGAATTTTAAATTAGACGAGGTATACATTTCCACGGATAGAACGTTTATTTGTTATAAGTCAGGTATCAAAGTAAGCATCATTATTTGTGTATTTATGTGCATGTAGAGAAATTCATATTAGTGTAGATGTAGCAGTTATGGTTATACATTCCTTATATGTGACCATGCATTAATTATGTTACGCTAAACTGAGGAAACATACCCCCCTCCCCTTTCGTCTCGTTTTTCCTATACTTTATGCAATGTTTGTCACAAAATGTTACACATTTTTACTACGTTGGATGGATAATTAGTTTCATTGAATTTTACCCTTATTTTATCATTGCTTTCAGCCAACCATGGACGTTAAAACTTTCAGACAACAGTGGACGTTATATTTGTTATACGTGCCAAATCAGTTGTCATAAATGAATTTAAAGATCACTAACAAGAAAACAGTTAAAAGTTATTAAAAATCATATTTTTATGATTTAATTAAAATAATTATATGCAGATATTTTCATAAAAGCGTTACCGAGCGATATTTTAAACGTTACAAATCGTTCAGTAAAATTTACATTGCAAACCAGTAAATTTTGAAAGCTCAAAGGCCAAATAAAATTTACCGAACGAATTGAAAATTTTAGAATAAATTAACGAACGATCAGAGAACGATCGGAGATTTGTCAATTATGTCAAAATAAGAACAGAAGCGCAAAAAAATATTGTGCACTCACTTAGAAAATCCGAACGCGTCACATATATGGATCGGAAACACAGATGCCGGGACAGGAGTGCTACGTCGCCTAATCAAAGTTGGCCATTCCTGAAGAAGCAGCTGTCAAAATTTTCCAAAAAAATCCTTGTCTGGCAGGCGATCTGTTGATGTGGTAAAATGAATCGTCACATCTGGCACCATTAACGGGCAAATTTTCAAGCATGAATGCCTCCAGAATCACTTTCTGCCCTTTCGGCAGTCTCACAGAAGCCAGACACTGTTTTGGCCGGATTTGGCATCTTGCCATTACGCCCGACAAGCAGGGTTGCCAAAAGCAAATCTGTATTTTTGCTTAAATTGTCGCGCTTATGTTAAATTCTCATTTGGTGAAGCACGCCGCTCTGCGCCATAAACAGAGAATAGATGATATAATTCCATTTTGAGAAATTATCCTGCCACACACAATATAAAAATCTTTTCATCTGAATTTCTTCTTCGAAACATCTGCAGCAATAATGTGTATAATTTTAATATTGCGTATTTCGCTCCAAAATGAACAAAGAGGTGTTGTCCCAAGTAACAAATCTAGAGCTGCTTGGCTATGTTCAAAATTTATAAAGGTTTTATTGCAGCTACAACCATTACCTACAGCTTTATGACGGTCATATACAATGCAAGTCATGGAACATTCTCATAGCTATCTACAAAACCTCTATAAAGCTAATAAATAAACCAACTGATGCTTATGCTATTTTCAATTATGAAAGGTTTTATGATTGCCTTGAAGTATAAAAAAAGCGATATGAATCGCCCTTATAAAACCCAAAAATAAATCCTTTTATTGCTATATAAGTAAGCGCAATAAATCTAGTTGGCCATGAAATAGCTATTTTAAAACAATTATAAGCATTCAGTTGCAACTTGTCAGAAGTGTAAATGGGCGGTTTATTTTTACAACATAGAAAGAATCAAAACTTTCCGGTACTTCCAAGCGGAGCGCAAAGAAAATCTTCAAAAAATTTAGCTTGAGCCCTTTTATTTGCTACAGTCAGCCGCAAACCTTCGTGAATAACTACAACCAAGAAAAAAAATGCCGCTGTATTTGCTGCGGATGTCACAAAGGAAGCTGTAAAGAGTGTTCTGAACCATCTTCACTTCGAATGGACACATTGCTACACCAAAAATGACTCATGAAGAGGAAATATATAATTATCTGGAGTCGGAGGATGATACCTATGCCAACTTGCGTCTCTTATCAGATTTACAGTCGTGGATGGTCACAGCAATTCAACAATCAGCATTGAAAATTTTCTTTCCTTTTTTTCATGGGGTGACACTGTCAAATCTTGGTCGAAATACATGGAATGGTGACAGTTCTAGGACAAAAAAGTTGAAATCACACATAACTTTTCATAAATTTTAATGTACCATTCAAAATTTTTCCAAATGTTTGTAAAATTTTTCGGTTACACCCGTAGAATATGAATATACGTTTACCCTCCAATAAGAAAAATGAATAGCTCTTGTAAAAAGAAAATAGTGCTCGAAATAAAATCATGAATCATGCTTTTCTGTTCTGCTTCCATCCAATGTAAGCATTAGGGAAAATCTCTATAATAAAGCAAAAAAAAAGTAAGCATTAGACATATTAAGAAATTGCGCTTGGTGTTTTTCTTGCCTGCTGTCCTTTGTCGCCATATTGTCATTATGAGCCTTGGAATAAAATCCAAGAAATTTCAATAAAATAGTGGCTAAATTAGAGATCCGAACTGATTTCCAGTGTGCATTGGTATGAATTTATTTATTGGGATCTATTTTCTGTAAAATTAAGATGATTCCATCAAATTAATTTGATTTCTAAAACAATCTATTTTGTTAACTTGAATCATTTTTTAGGCGCATTTATTTAACGCACATATTATCCCAATATACACGATAAAATTTCAAGCGCAAATGTTTTGGAACTTCTAAAAAGGCATATATTTTTTTAAGATTTTCACTAATGTCGCCATGAAACAAAATTTATTGCATGGTGATCTTGACACCAACACTCAAACCTATTTTTACAGCTAAAGATTACCATATGAAAAAAAAAAAAGTTTCAGCAGAACAGAACAACAACAAGCTAATTTATGGCGGTTGCTTTGATGCAATAAAAATTAAATTGGATTTATAACTGATTTTCACCAAAGCGTAATAAAACTGCTTGGATACAATATTACTCTTAAAGAGGCTATGAGAACCTTTTGTAGAGTATGGGGCTTTCTTACAAAAGGTTTTAAGACAGCTTTATTGTGATTCTCAAACATGCTTTATAAACCTTATCAAGAGTGGTCCACTAAGCTGGAAGACGATCTTATAGCGGTTATCAAAAGGTTGTGCTGGAGCTATTAATTTTATCGACGGTTTTATAAAATTGATCTCAAAAACCACTAATAGAGTGCAATAAAACAAGAAATGCTACTTGGGGTAACTGCGGTAACGGTCATAAAATTGCGCTTTTGCATCAAATCGGGTTAGTACGTTTTGCACCCAATACATTAATGGCGGTAAGCTTCAACTCGGATTTACTTTCAATACCGTCCCTGTTTGGGAAATCTGACAAATTTTTGCTTAAGACTGAATTGGTTAATAGTACCGTCGATACCAAATCAACCCGACATTCGTTATCGGGATTTAAACCGAGGATAATATTATGCGTGGCAGGATAATTTCTCAAAAAGGGATTTTACCATCTGTTTTCTGTTTATGGCCGTACCACTGCGCCCATCGATTTAACACACGGCGGCTCTTTATCCAGGATACGCTCCTTAAGCCGCTGCCATAAAATACTTTTAAAGTTACATACTAATCACCATTAAAATAAAACTAAGCCTCACCATAATAGGCCATATAAATGGTCACCGCGGAAATGTACCCAACAGGAAAATAAAATAACAAATTGCCTTAACGCCATTTGATTATACAGCATTTTCATGCGTTTTAATTTTAACGTAGTTAAGCAAACAGCCTCCCTCCCCTAGGCCACCACAAGGAAAACTTGCTAGCTATGCCAATGATTAAGGGGAAGTCTAGCACTCCGAAAAAAAATTTACGCGTCGATTTTTTTCTAACAATTTTGGAAAAAATATCGAAAATCTAAAAAAAAATCAAATTTTTCTAATTTTCTAAAGAAAATTTACGTGCAAATATATTTATTTAAGTCATCATGGCTTATAGTTGGACTGAAAAAAAACACACAAAACATCGTCCTCTCAGTTTAGCTGAGAGTCAAATTTTTTTACATGTAATTTTTTTCAAAAACCTATGGAAGAAACTGATTTTCTTGGATTTTTTTTTATTTGTTTTCCCAATATTTTTAGAGAAATAAAAACGTGCAGAAATTTTTTATTTTTTTATCTTTGGGCGGTAAACTTTCTCTTAAGAACCCAACTAACAATTTTAGCTGCAGATTAGCTTATACAGCCGAAAATTGGCTTATACAGCTAACTTTTGCCTGTATAAGCTAGTCTGCAGCTAAAATTGTTTGTTGGGAAGCTCTGTAAACTGTATGCCCAGTGGGAAAATTTAACTGCGTACTTATTTTTAGCAGGAGTCTAATATGGTTCAAAATCTGTAGTATTGTTGAGTAATTTCTGAGTAACCCATTCACAAGGGGATCTTTCGAAGAAAAGGTTTTAATTTAAAAAATGGTAAAAAAGATTAAATAAATGAAATCTATGCAAATTAAGAACTGTTCTCTAGAAAATACTTAAATGTTCCATAAGCTATAGCGAGTCTTATGGGACATTTCATATTTTTTATTGACACATATTTTGTAATGGTGCATTTCATATTTTTTAGGGATCTTTTAATCCTTTAGAAAATATTTCATCTTTTTTATGCGTAGATTTACCGTTCTGCCCGTGTTTTTTGATTTATATTAATTGCAGGCATAAGATGCCTTCTACCGCTAGGTGCGCTAGTGTTCGCCAATCAATAGTGGATCCGAAGTTCCACTGTTCTGTGCTAATAAGTACAATTCCTCATCACATTCCTAAAAGTTCACTCAGTTAAAGAGGCTTTTTTTTTGTTAAAATCATAGTATTTTCCAGCTCTCCTATGTCAACTGTTAACTTTGTCCTAGCGGTCGAATTGACTCGCGGTCCGTTGTTTTGGAAGTTTTCTCGCTATTCGCTGGTGTATATTATCAGTTTTTTCTCACTTAGTGGTGTAGTAGATATAAGGGTTTTGGAATAAAATTATTAAAATTTGTTGGGCAGTTAATTATTCTTCTTGTGAGTTATTGTAGTAATAGATTGGTCTCCCCCTTTTTCCTTTTCGATGCGTACATACCTCTCGCCT